ACAAAGCAAGTCGCCAAAACAGCGTTAAAACGACCCTTGGCAACAAAGTGGCTACGGAAAAAAGGTAAGGAGACTTCGCATGTTTTATTCCTCGCTTTTATTATCCTTCTAAATTTTTTCTTCATTTTTTTTTTAAAATTTGTCCTTTTTTAGCGGCCCACACGTACGCTTGAAATTCGATCTTATTATGTTAGTTATTACCGTTAACGCACTTGACACCACAGGGTCTTCGTTTTAGACCACAGGGTCTTTGTTTTAGACCACAGGGTCTTCGTTTTAGACCACAGGGTCTTCGTTTTAGACCAGTGGGTCTTAGGTCTTAGGTCTTCGTTTTTGGGTCTTCGTTTTCGACACATCCGTTATGCAATACTGTAGTAGACCGAGTTCGTTGGTGAAATTGGATATTTCACTGTTGCTTTCATTGTTTAGTTCCTCAGTAATGATAGATGTTGTCCTGTCACAGAATATGTTGCCAGTTTTCTAGTTTCATGTCAAAGAAAAAATATGAAATTGGTATTGGCATTAGTTTTATTTAATATTATGCTGTCTTGAGCCATTGTTTCATCAGTATTTTATTTGTTTTCAGTTATTTCATGTAATGTTCTAAGAATAGCTCATCATTTAATAGTTATATCTTTGGATAGGAGAATTAGTATTTTATTACTGTCATACAATGTAACGATAGTGGTCCCAAAGACTAAAGAAAGACGCTAAAGGCGATAGATAACAGGTTATAAGGGCTGCCTCAGAACAACAACTTGAAGCACAAGGTTTTCTGCGCGTCACGTGACGCGAGACCACAGGCATACCATGACACCTTTCACGAGCGTAAAAAAACTAGCCAGAACGAAACAATAGCATGAACAGCAATTGGAAAAAACTCTGAAGTGTTCAATGTCCTACTTAAAACTTTACAGTCTCCTATGTTTAGCAGATCTGAGCGTTTAACCATAGTCCTTTAAGTAAGCGGGGGGATGTGATACGTGTCCAGCCCGTGTGGTCACAGGTTCGGCTGGTTGGGGCTTGTTGGTTGTGGTGTTCGGAGGCTAGGCCTTGGTTGGTGTTACCCACCTGGTGTTCTTCAAATTACATGAAACTGAACCCAAAAAAGTGCAAAGAACTCAGAATATGCTTCCTACGTAACCCTCTCACTCTATCACAGTTGACTATTAATAACACCTCAGTCGAAGTAGTTCAAAGTCACAAGCTCCTAGGAGTGCTCATTCAGGATGATCTAAAATGGCGTAGTCACATTCTTAGCCTTACAAAGAAAGCTACTCAGCGACTTTATATCATTCGTGTCCTGCGCCGCAATGACCTTCCACCCAAGGATTTACTTAGTGTCTATACTGCTCTAATACGTTCAGTTTTGGAGTACGCATGCCCGGTATGGCATTCTAGCCTTCCATCTTACCTTGTGGACAATTTAGAACAGATACAAAGAAGAGCTTTCAGGATAATCGAACCACTAATTTCTTACAGAACTGCATGTAATGTTTTGAATTACCCCACACTGGAAGAAAATAGGGAACGTCTTTGCCTCGAACAGTTCAAGAAAATTAAAAACTCACAGTTGTCATCATTAATTCCACAGAAAAGACTAGACGCACACGGCCGTCAGCTGCGCTCCAGCAATAACTTGACTCTTTTTAAATGTAGGACAAAACGATTTCAAATAAGTTTTTTTCCCGCAATGACGTCAAAGCTTAATGAATTATCGCAATAGACTTATATCACATTTGTAATAATTTGTTAATAGAATCTTGTGAGCCGGTAACCCAGTCCCCCGGCAAAATTTTTATTTATACAGTCTCATTTAATTTGTAAATATTTTTTGTAATTTCTTGTAAATATGAAGTATTTCATTTAAGTGCCGAATTCATATCTAATAAACCCATTACCATTACCATTCCTTTAGGGATCCAAACGAACATGTATCTGCCAGCGTGCGAAGTGCAGATGCATAGGCGTCAATTGTTTCTGCGGATTCTTGTGCTCTGATATGGAATTTGTAGCATTCATAAGTCGTAATAGTCTTGCCCACGCAGTAATTATTCCACAACTCCAGGACTTATCGATCCTACCTTTATCTTCCTCAGTAGCGAAGGGTAAACCAGAGTGGATCTCAAGAGCTTCTGGTCCGATACATGTAACGAAAGTTGCTACGCAGTAGTCGTTTGGTTTGGATTGCAAACCTGTGATTGTTTCGTATGCTTTAATTCCATGTTTGCAGCCAGTTTTTCCAATTTCTTGCCAAGTCACTGTTATGTTAATTTGCTTTAAAACCCTGCGGGAGTTACGTAACCCAGAACTTTTTTTAACTTATTAGCATTTTTGTTCTTAACCGCGTGTCTTGTAAGTTGCTGCTTAGTTATAGTTTAATCGTTGTGTATCAAAGGTCGTTTCTTTAAAGCTTAGAGTCGCTTTTTTGAGTGAAGACACAACAGTTGGCGACGAGGATGCCGGATACACCGGGAGAACCAGCGCAGCCTAGCATCGTGGTACATCCATCGTGTTTAGGGCGTATGGAAGAGTTTACGCCGGGCACCGATTGGAAACATTATGTGGAGCGACTCGAAATGTTCTTGTCCTGGGCACTATCAAGGGAGTGAGCGCCTATCTCCAAGCTCAAGGAAAATGCCACCCCGCAGTTCTTTAAACCCAGACCGGTTCCCTTTGCCTTGAAAGAGAAGATTGTAGAGGAACTTAAGAGGTTAGAAGGAATTGGTGTGTTAGAGAAGGTGGAATTCTGAGATTGGGCTACGCCTATCGTGCCAGTTCCAAACCGGATGGTAGCGTGAGGATCTGTGGGGATTATAAGGTCACTATCAACCCGGTTTTGGATGTGCCTGAGTACCCCATGCCTACGGCGGAAGAATTATTTACGCCGCTAAATGGTGGTCAGAGTCTCTCTAAACTAGATCTGTCCTCGGCATATCAACAGGTGTTGTTGTATGAAGAATCCAGGCCGTATGTCACGATTAACACTCATCTGGGACTTTTCCGTTAGACGCGCCTACCGTTTGGAGTGGCGGCAAGTCCAGCCATTTTTCAACAAACAATGGACTCTACATTGAGTGGCATTAATGGAGTTGGTAGTATCCTGTATGACTTAATCGTAACTGGTCCAAACGACAACGAGAACCTTCGCAATCTGGAAAATACTGTTAAACGTTTGGACAGCATGGGTGTGAAATTGAAAAAGTCAAAGTGCGTGTTTATGAAGCCTTCAGTGGAGTATTTCGCGTTCGTGGTGGACCGGCATGGAATTCATCCTTCACCACGTAAGGTACAATCCATCCAAGAAGTTCCAGAGCCGCGGAATGCAACGGAACTGAAATCTTTTTGGGGGCTGGTGAATTATTATCGTAAATTCATTCCCGATATGTCAACTCTTGTCCACCCGTTGAATCGCCTGTTGATGTTCGACGCACCCTGGACCTGGACGGAAACCAGTCAAGTAGCATTCAAGTAGTTAAAATAATTGCTCCTTGATTCGCCTTTGTTGGCCACTATGACCCGAATAAACCAGTTTGATTGGCTGTTGAAGCCCCATCATATGGATTGGGGGCTGTCTTGTCACGTCTCAGGTGACGGTGAAGAAAAACCAGTCGCGTATGCATCCCGCAGTCTCTCAGCAAGTGAGCAAAATTATTCCATGATCGAGAAAGAAGCTTTGGCAATTGTTTTTGGCATAAAGAAATTCCACCAGTACCTGTTCGGAAGGCGCTTTTCATTGCTTACGGATCACAGACCTCTCACTTTCTTGCTTGGTCCGAAACGTGGTATTCCGGTGCTGGCCGCGTCTCGCCTGCAACGTTGGGCTATTCAGTTGTCCGCCTATCAGTATGACATTGAATACAGGGCTTCCAAGGATCATGCCAATGCTGACGCACTGTCTCGATTGCCACGAAGGACCGTCGAAGAGCCGAATGATTGGAGCATCGAAGCTGATCAAGTTAATCGCGTTCAAATGCAACGAGCTCCAGTCACTGTGTCGTAAATCCGTGAGGCCACATGTGGGGATCCAGTTCTTTCTCGTGCGATGCACTGCATTCTGCATGGTTGGTCAGCGGGAAAATGTATTCCAGATGAGCTGAAGATTTATTACAATAAGCAAGACGAGTTTACAGTTGAAGATGGTTGCATCCTTCGTGGTACCAGAGCAGTGATTCCGGCAGTGTATCAGGCTGCCATTTTATCGGAATTGAATTTGAATCATCCCGGAATGGTCCGCATGAAGTCTTTAACCAGATTGCATGTGTGGTGGCCCAGCATCGATTACGATGTGGAGCAAACAGTGCGAGACTGCCATGCCTGCCGAGCAAATCGCTGTAAGAGTTCAGAGAAAGTCAGCAATCCTCGGATCTGGCCCACACGACCTTGGCAGAGGATACATGTCGACTTTGCCGGTCAGTTTAATGGTCAGATGTTTCTGCTTGTAGTGGACGCGAAATCAAAGTGGATTTAAGTATTCCAATGTCCTCAACCACTCCATCAACGACCATTCTAGCCCTGCGTTTCCTGTTTGCCACTCATGGTCTACCAGAGGTCATCGTCTCCGATAACGGTCATTTCCAATACGCAATCCTTCAATTCAAACATTCGACGCAAACACGCTGTCCTTCGTCGTCACCTGGAAACTAGCCTGGCCACGCATGCGTATTGGGAAGAAAGGCGAGGAAAAAGAATACGGCCCTTATAGCAGGAACGGTGGAACGGTAGATTGGCGGAAAATGATCCCAACTCCTAAAACATGGAGCGGCGGAAAATGGCCCCAAATCCTAAAACACGGAACGGATGTCAGGGCAGGTTGCGCGAATTTTGTACGTAGACACTCAAGCGCTTGGCTAACTCATCCCCACGACGATAACGCGCGTGACCAAAATTAAGTGTTATCAATTTTTTTTTCTTTTGCTGAGTGGTATGAATAATAATGAACTATTATACATAAAAAATAGCTGCGTTTTCGCGTTGTAAACCTGTTTAGTTACCTTTTG